AAAAATACAACAACTTTAAAGCTAAAATAAAACAGTTCGAAGTCGAAATGCCGAACAATTTTCAACACCAATTATTTCAATATTCAAGAAAGTAGAACTCATCCATTCGACTTTTAAAACTTAATACGGAAGTTTTCCCAGTACACGCTTTATTCAAAAAATTGCAAAACGTTTCTTGATGATGAATACGAAAAATTGGATGCATCTCAAATTCTTGATTTATTTTTAGAATGCAGTAAGTGCAGATTTTGTTCAAAAGAAATCCTTCTGTAGCTTGGTTGGTTATTCGAATGACTAATTCCGAATCACACAGAGATTTCACTATTTAATGCTCGTTTCCTTTATGTCTCGAAATTGGACAGTTTCGATTTTTTTTTAGAAAATATACTCACGCACAGGATGATCCCTGCTAACTTCGTCATTATGGTTCACTGAACGGTTTGTTTTATTCTGAAAAATCAAACAAGCAAATGCGGGAATTGAAACACGGAGTAGCAATGCACTCGATTTTCTTGAACTGACAGCACTGTCAAAGCCACCATTTTTTTTTCAAACTTCGAATCGAAGCAATTGTTTGACTAGCTCCTGCTGGAACCTTTGGAACTCGGAGTTCCGGAACTGAATGCGATGAATGTGCTGGTTCCCGCATGGGTTTATATATATTCACAAAATTTTAATTCGTTCCGTGGAACAAAAGAAAAAATCTTGAGAGACGGATGGAAACAGGAAATGGGTAAGTGCTTAAGTGAAGAAGGCTATAGGGATAATTGAAGCGCTGGAAGAAAAAGAAGAAGACCTCGGATCTAGGGGTCACCCTAATTGTCTCCTATCTCCTTGGTCTCGGTCACAGCCCAGGCACCGAAAAGCTTTGTCGTCACATGCATCAATTTCTAAAAAATTTATTTTCTTAGAGACAGTGGCAGTTGAAATTATCTGATAAAGATAAAAGCTGGCTTTTCTCCTAGCAACACTTCAAAAAATGTTGTACATGCTGAAATGAATTCTTTCAATTTTTCATTCTGAGAAACCCTTCTTGAAGCTCATGTTTCTAATTTTTAATGACATTCAGCTATAGCTGCTCCATTCAAACTTACCTCAATTTTTGCAAAAAAAAGTCAGAAACTTTTAGATTCCTGCCATGAAGTCTTCCAAGCAAAAATTTTGTGAGTCTGCAAACATTTTATGCATCTTTGCAGGTCTGCAGAAAATGTTTTGGGGATTAGCTGGTCTGTGAAAAATTGCATGCCAATTTGCTCGTCTGTATATAGTGGGCCGAAAAAAGTGAGGGAATAATGCTATGTTTTTACATTACATGAAATAAAAATGTGAATGGCAATCTTTGAAAAACTAAGGGGATATTTTATTCAAAAACTGAAAAGCCTGCCAGAACCAACGGAAGGTGATGTGCTCAGTGATTGCTGTCAGTTTGGTCAGATTATGTGGAAAATTTGGTCCCTCCCCGACAATAAGATAACAAGCTTTGAAATTGGCATTGCTGTATTTACTGGATTACCAGGCGCACATTTTTTTCCAGAAATTGAGGCAGAAAATAGGGTGTGCATAAATGGTACTTGGAAAACATATTTTGGAGGGAAAATGCCAAAACCAGTGCCCCTCTCAAATGAAAGTTTTTTTCAAAGAAGAAAATTAAGAGGAACTGTGTGGCATCAAGTCTTCTTGTCCATGGTCCAAGCAATAACAATTTCAGGAATAAATCAGTAGGAGATGCAATAGGAAGTAAAGCAAGGGTAAAATATTCATCGAATTTTGGAAGCTACCAAATATTGCAAGAACATTTCAACTAATCTTGCAGACAGTAAAATCAGGAAAGACAATACAGTATATCAATAGGGAACAATGAAACACTTACCAAATATCACAATTCTTAATTTTTAGCAACAACTAAAAAGGGGCAAGGATCTTACAAAGGGATGGGTTTTTTGGATGAACATATAAACTGCCCCCCCCCCCGCATTGGCCGCCACTTTGGCGGCAGTGAAGGCGGCTGTTGATGAAAAGGGCGGAATTGCCTTGGATGACCTGATGGAGGTAACCCTTAGAAAGAATGCCAAGTTGATTTCAAAAATTCCGAGGGGAAAGCTTGGCTACACAAAAAAAGGGCGCCTCATCTTTTGAGTGGAAAGCAAAACTCTGCCAGGATGAATTATATAAAATCAAAAAATTTGTCAAACAGGGCTGATAATTTTTGTGTGCCAAAGAATATGTTATACCTAACAAAAAAAATTTCTGCTCAATTTTAAGCCATTTTATTTGCTACTCCGAGAACTTTTGTTATAACCCTTGTATGTGTCAGAGATTCTAGCATTCAGGAAAATACTGGGTATGCTCTCAAGAAAAGGGAAATCAATCACTTTCCTAAATTGGCCTGCTTCTACAGCTAGTTTGAGTAGTTTTACAAAAGGTCAGAAAATGAGGCTTACACTGATATGTTTGTGGTAGGGATGCCCTGAATGGAATAACTGGACATTTTTCCACTCAATGGGCTGAATTCTCACCCAAGTTGAATTTTTTTCCAGGTACTTGAAAATTTGAATTAGAGACGTTCAATTGTACTTTGATAGTAATAAATAATTATTCACTATTCTAAGTTTTTGAATAGTATTTACTTTTCATTTTTCAATATAGAGCTTAATTTTCCATTACATTGGAAACAAAATATTTAAAATTTGTGTTGAAAATTGAAATTTTTAATTTTTCATGTAATTGAATTTGTGTAAAGGACTTTTTGTCTAACAGACTCGTCCCTTGCATGAATCAAGTTTGTTAGATGGGGGTTGAACTGTATATAGTATCTTGATTATCTTTGCTAGTTGAAACCCAAACTGATTGAATCTGATCTATGAATATTGGGTTTTAAAAAAGGTACATACCTATTCTGTACAGAAAGAAACTTTGTTACATATGAATTTGGGATACAACTTCCCAAAAATACTTGCATGTCTCCATTGGGTTGGACTTTATAGCTGGGTTTGGAAATTAAAGAAGTACTCAACTCATTTTCCCACTACAAATTGGGCTGAAGAAAGAGGAGATGCTAACTTCCTCTAATTTCTGATATCCTTAATGTCTTTTGGATGAATTTTGAAAAAAATCAGACAAGTTGTCTGATTTTTGTCCAAAGTTATCAAAGCCACCTTGTCCAAATGCGATTTTGGCAAGATTCTGGGATAAATTGGTCTGGATCACTTGAGGAAAAAAACTGGACATTTTCCCACTCAATGGGCTGAATTCTCAGATGTCCCAGTAGCAGCAATTGAGTTCATGCCAAGGGCCAATTCTTATTGGTCCGCTGCACAGTTTTAATGCATGTTTTAAAGTTCAGAGAACATTTTAAATCTCTTTTTGGAGGATGTCTCCCCAAATTTTCCAACAAGAGAAGTGAATTCAAAGCGATCCCAACAAGCTGTGCATCCAGGAAAACATGATCCAAGATGGAGATGTTTCCATTAGCATATGGATGATTCAGTTACGCAGAAATTGCATTCCTATATTTTTTGGTCGCTTCTGCTTATGTCTGTCACTCAGCCACATGGAAAACTGTAAAAAAAGAAGCTTTTTGAAATTTGAGAGTGGGTCTTCTGAATGTCTGTAATTTGTCCCTTTCACTGTTGGTGAATTGGCTGTTTTCATTTGAGGTGCGCTGCTGGTACCTTATCTTGGTGGTTTCTGAAATAAAAATTCAGTGATGAAAACAAAGTACAATATTAGAAAAAGGGTTACGTATGAGTGGACTCTTCACAATGCTATCATATGTATTTACATTTCTTGTTCCTGGCATAATTCCTGAGTCCTGCATGATGAGACACTGCTGAATTTTTTTTTTTTACAAGAATAGTTATCTCATTTCATTCTCATTAACAAATATTTTCTTCTGGAATAAGTAGCAAGAAATTCAGCAACAATTTTTTTTGGAAATGCAGCACCCCTATTGAACTTTTCAGAATCCTGATGATCTTTCTAGATATTCTAGAAACTTCTTGTCCATTGTCATTTGGTGCAAAAAGTGGAGAATAAATTGATACCCGTTGATAAAACATAAACTATGCCTACCGATCAGTGCGTATAGAATTTTAAATATTTTGTTTCCAATGTAATGGAAAATTAAGCTCTACCAAGTCACGCCAAAAATTATTTGGCACAATAAGGGAATTTCCGGGAGAAAACCCGCCACTGGAGAAAATTCACGATGCGGTTCCTGGAATTAACAACAAAAAAAGCTTGATACTCAACTCTTTATAATACAATACAGTAATTCACACTTATACTTCAGTAAAACCCTTCAGTAATATTTTGCAATATCAATGTATCACGGCTTTTCATCTCTTGTATTCTGTGATGTATCATAGGTTGGCTATTAGCAGTGTATTCCAGACTATTGGGCATGTAGACTGGAAAAATTTCGAGAAACATTTTGTGGACTGGCAAATTAAAAAAAAAACTTATGCATAGTGGCCAAGTTTCATAAAATGATTGCAGACTTAGAATTGCTTTCTGAAAGACTTCATGGCAGGTATTTAAAAAATTGAGTGTGAAACCAATGAATTAGCTATAGTAGAATGTCTTCAGAAAATCGGAAAGGTGAACTTGAAGAGAGTCGTGTCAGAATAAAAAAAGTAAAATAATTCCTTTTGGCAGATGAAAATTTGTCTGATGAAGAGCTGTTAGGAGAAAATCCAGCTTCTAATTGTCATCAAATACTGTCAAAAGATATTGTCTTTCAATAGTTTCTGATAAAGATATAACATACAATACAGTACTTCATTGCCAACCTTGATACATTTATGATATGCTGAAGATCAATTTCCCGTTCGTGTGGACTATAGCTAAAAACTTCTGCGAATATTACTGGCACCAGTCTTCCAACGACGGGCTTGGGGTACCCTTATGCCATTTGAACTTCAAAAAGAAAACGTTCAAGTGTGAAAAATCAGTTTTGATCAAGTCAAAACTTATGAAACACAGAAAAAAATCCGGGTACATTTTTCATGGTACAACGCAATATATACGCAATTTTTATTCGAGCTGCGGATGACAAATAAATACACACGGACACTTGAAAAAAAAATACCCTTTTTCATGCCCAATCGCATTCCTCTTCTCACGAAAAGTATCTGGAGGACCAACAGACGCATCATTGCTTCAACTATGTGTATGTATAGAGCAGCTCATATAAAGGTAGATATTTAACAATACATTTCACCCCGTCTATAGTGTTTTTCTCATCGCTCTCCAGGTAACTCTGCGGATGTGGAAATATCTTATGAATGTAGAAAAAAAAGGAAAAGAAAAATGAAAGGTATGAGATAGCTCATATATGCAGTATTGAAGTGAAAATGATGATGACAGTCTGTCGAGAAAGATTTGGTCTCGTAATATAAGCGGAGATATATGACTTGAGATTCTCTGTCACATGATGACGTGTCATTATTCAGACCACCCCGTCGTCATCTCGACGCGGTGACTGAATATATATTCAAAAGAGGCATGTTCCTAATATTTTGTAAAAAAAAAAAAAACTATTTGGTTGCTGGGTCACTCTCTAGAAGGAGATGACGGAGACCTTGCCGTGCTTGTGCTTCTTGTTGTGGTGGTGGCCATAGCCGCCGCCGACGGAGGAAAGGCCGCCATAGCCGCCCAAATCGGTGCTGTGGCCGTAGCTGGAGGAGTGGGAGTCGTAGCCGTAGGAGCTGCCGTAGCTCGGGGCCTGGTGGTACACGGGCACCTTCACTGGGTACGGCACCTTGACTGGGTACGGGACCTTGACGTGCTTCACGACTGGGTACGGCTTGGGCACGGGCACGTGGACGTGCACCTTCTTGGTCACCGGCACGTAGACGGGCTTGGGTACGTGCACCGGGTACGGCTTGGGCACTGGCACGTGGATCTTCCTGGTCACATGCACTGGGTACGGCTTGGGCACATGCACTGGGTATGGCCTGGGCACCGGCACTGCCACCTGAAAATACAATTTTGTAGATGATAATACAGTAATAGGGAATTATCCGTCCAATTCCTGAACAACATTTTCCTAATATCAGTAATAAATAGGGTTTAAAAAAAAAAGTGCTATGGTTTCTTAATTTATCACTCAATATTTTTTTTGGAGGATGAAGAAACGACGCTATACTTTTTTCTGTGAATTTCTAGCAGATGTCACCCGAAAAATTTTCAAGATTTATTGGAGCATTGCCAGGTATAACGAATACGATGACGAGTGGGATCGTTACAATGACGACAAGGATTTTTCGTTATTCCTTACATGTTCTCTATATTGAGAATCTCATTGTCAGGAAACGATACAGATCTTAGAAATTCTTCATCATCATTATACAATCGTTCTAAAACTCTTTACACATAGAACTTTGAAGGACCATAGCAAATGAGTTAGAGAGTTTTTCAATGCATTATTCCTATTACATGGGAATTGAGACAGGGACTTTAAAAAACTCGAAATAGGTAGATTTTTTTTAATAGAGAGGTTCGAGTTATTGAGGCTCAACTGTTTAAAAGAAAAAATGTCATTCAAAATCACACTACAGAAGACGCTGCATCGAAGACAGCCAGTGACATCTACATAAATTGAGATTGTTGGCTAGACTGTGACGGACAGAGGCGTGAAGTCGATTTCTGCAGATTAAATTCCAGTGTTTTTTATAGATGTCGCTCGTACTTTCGAGAAGACATACATACAATTCTAATTTTTTTTTATTCAGAAGAAGACTTACCTTCTTCACTACTGGGATGTAGACGGGTTTCTGGACTGGATAGTAGACTGGCTTGTGAACTGGCACGTAGACGACCTTCGGTTTGGAATAACCGTAGCCGCCTCCGTATCCATGATGACCGCCGCCGTAGCCATAACCGCCGCCGCTGCTGCTGTAGCCGTGGCCGCCTCCGTATCCGAAACTCACGCCTTTGAAGCCCTTCTTTCCGAAACCGCCCTTCTTGAAGGCATTGGTTTCCGTGGCGGCAATTAATGCCAACTGAAAAAAAGGAAAAAGTAGTTTTCATTATCCGAATCGAATTCATCTCGATTCTTTTTTCTTTTGCTTTTGCTTTTGAAAATGTCTTCGCCAAAAATTGGAAAACTCCGAGAAGCAGCTTTTTTTTTTTGCGAGCTACGCAATATATTAAGCACTATCTTCGGATAATTAAATTTCAACTTCGGTCTATATAGAACCACCAGTTTTTGAAATTGCTCTTTATATATTTCACAGTAATGGAAAATTTTTCAACTACAAGCGACTGACTCTGAAGCGAATAAATTATATTGATCGCAGACAATAAAACATTCTAAAAAATATTCTAAATGAACAATTAAATGATAAAGAGGTGCTAATTCTAGACGATTTCGAAACGTGTTTCAAAATAAGGAAAAATGTAGACAACTGCCGACTAGATCATGTATGTATGAATGTTTTCAATAAACAGCACGCCGTGGACAAAGCATTAAAAATATTTTTGTTTGCCTGGGATTTAGATTAAATTATGCTTCGAAAATAATTGCAAGCACTTTTTGTAATCTCGAATCTGAATTTCGTTCATTAACTGATGATGAACACTGCTCTACTTATTGCAACTTCGAGAATCACATCCCAATTCTTTTTCATTCAAAAAATTGAAAGTTTGATCTGGACTTGGAAAAACAAATTTTCGCATCCAAAATTTCAAAACCGCTTATTGCAATTTTAACTTTCTTTATGCTGTCAAAGTTGAAACTTTCAAGGGGGAAAAATATGATTGATTCGAATTTTCAAATAAATACTCACGCACAGGATGATTCCTGCTAACTTCGCCATCGGAAAATTCACTCGGTGGCTTGTTTTAATTTACAATCCTAATAAAACAAACGGGTGAAACTGAAACTGAAAAAATATGGAACATTTTAACTCTTGCCTCACACTTTTTCAACGCGGTAAAAATGTATTCTTATTCGAAACTGCAGAAATTTTTTTTTTTTACATTTTTCACTCATTTGCTCCTGCTGGTGAAACCTTTGAAGCACCGAGACGTAATGCGATGCATGTGCTGGTCGACGCTCGGGTTTTTATACACCGAAATTCAGTTTGTCCTCAGCACGACACAAACACACCTCAGGGGGGGACAAGGGAAAATAAAGAAAACGAGTAGAAGCTTTGGTTAAAAACTTATCTTGGGATAAGGTGAAGAACGAAAACAAAAAAAAAAAGAGGAAGACCTCGCTGGGGTCATTCTAATTGTCGCATTCCCTGGGTCTCTCGTCGGACTCTTCTGATGACTCTAAAAAAGCCTTCTTCTCGTTCTTATTTTTTTTTATTCTGCTTCTTTCGTTCTTTTAATGTATCTCTCCATCTCTTTCTGTATACACACGTCGTTATAGTCGTCGTCACTTCCGGCATCCAGCGGAATTTCTGTTCCGGCCCTCCATTGCCGACGAGGTTCGACAGCCTCGAGCATCTTCTGTTTTCCCTTTTGATTCAAGGTAAACTTATTGGAGTAATGTGAGAGGCTCGTTGATGGAATATACTTGGATTGTTTCATTCTCGGGAATAATAAGCACGAGAAACTATATAGTTACGATTATACAGGATCCACACTGCGTTTTTTTGAGGGTGTCGAACTTGTGGAAAATGAAAACAAATTTATTCAAAAAGATAAATAAAAAAAGGAAACGGTTTTAAGCTTGGGATTCAACCGAAACCGTTACACATATTGTAATTCATCATCTGGAATGCGTCAAGGCTTTTCAGTAAGTCATATTCGTTGCAGGATATAGTTTTAAAAATGTTTTTGAACTTATTTCAGAATGGAATGAAAATGTGCCTGAACCGTTCTTGGAAATTTAAATAAACGTCTTGCTTTTTTGGGGAATTCCAAAAAAATGACGCAAATATGTTGCAATGCGTTCGGAAGAATTTAAAGCATTTCCTGAAGTACTGGTGCCTTCAGGAAAAAATATTATTTGACAACTGCTGTTGTACACTCAGTACCGAGAATCGAATTGGCTGTCGCCATTAAAAAATATTAGTAGATGTATTTGACCAAATATCTTGGCAGAATGTTGATAGGGTACTGCGAGGTTGACTGAATCTCTGGATGGGACAGATAATAAATCTAGAAGTCTTATTGATTACAAAACAAGAGGAACTGATAAATTTTTTTTTTAGGTCAATGCATGCCTGCCATCAATATAATTTATGCCTCAGACAGAAGAAAAGTACCGCATATGCAAAAGGTTCCATTGAATGAATGACAATGTGTTTAATAAGAAAAAATCCATGCTATCACCTGCAAAAACAATAAATCGTATGAAAATAAATTCATTCAACAACTTTGAATTAAGACGAGACAGTCCAGAGAAGTTTAGAAAGGAAAAGTCTTGCTAGATTCAATACTGCTTTAAATCTTATTGATTGATGGCTATTTAATGTATTCGAGATCAAAATAGACTAAAATTTAGGATTTACTGTATAGTGTAAAAAATCCTTAATGTACAGCACTACTTTTCCTGGCCTTCAAGTAATTCCAAGAACGTGTACATAAATTAACAGAACTATATTCAAGTTCGTACAAAAAAAAGGCTGAAATTAAATCTTTCTATATGCACGTAACTGCAATGTTTACGATGTCTCGCCTTCAACATTCTGCAAGACCTTGCGAGAGTAAATGTTTTCGTTGCAGAGTTCTTTGTTTAATTTTTCAAGTACTACCTGTCAAGTACCAAATGCACTAAACGGGGGTATGCAAGATTGACATTGAAACAATACAATTTGCAAAGCTATTTTCGAGAACCTCTCTCGGGTGTTGCGGTATTAAAATAATCATTACTTCAGTGAATCACATTACAAGTGAAAACTCCTTGGATGGGATTTATTCAATGAATACCTCCCTGTTGAATTCACTCTCACTTTATATAATACAAGGGTTCTAACAAAAGTTCTTGGAATGAAAATGGCATCTAATCAAGCTGAAAAACAATTATTCTTTAAGGCAAACATATTCTTTGGCACAAAAAACTCAGCCCTGTTTGACAATTTTTTTTNTTTCAAATGCATCACATGCTTCTTCACTTGGTAAAAAAGATAATGCTAATAACATTTTAGCAAATTTTTGAAATACTTCATCTCTCATGTAAGTAGAAGCAAGCCCAAGTTCTTGTATTTTTCTGTACACATTTTGTCCAAGGTGAAATACTTGTAACCCCTTTTGCTAACATGAATAAAAACATGAGTAAACCCTTTAAAAGTTAACATTTAATAACCCAACAGGATTCCTCCCTACATTTAATCATGAAGTTATTGCTGTGGTGAGTTGTGTGTGCTGCAAGCCATGTGCGGCAAGTTTACTTGCCGCAGTTACTCCGGCAAGTTGTTGCAGCGGCAGGTTGTCTGTGCGGCAAGAGATGACAGCGGCAAGTCAGTTGTGCGGCAAGGTATGACAGCTGCAAGTCATAAGGGGTGCGGCAAGTTACAAGTGCGGCAAGTTACAGAGCGGTGAGTTGTGTCAACACGCATCCAAGGCAACCCTTGGAATTACTGCCACATTGATTTCAAGAATTCTGAGTGTATTTTCCACTCAGAATTCTGAAGGGTTGCCTTGGATGACCTGGGGGCAACCCTTGGAATTACTGCCACATTCATTTCAAGAATTCTGAGTGGAAAGCAGTGAGACCCTCACATCATGCGGAGTTGCGGACACATCTTGACATGCAGACAATTTGACATAGGGACACTTTTTTCTGATAAAAATTAATAAAAAAGGTTCAACAGGCGGAAACTGACTCCCCATTTGGACATTGTGTGCTGATATTACAAATAAGTTTCAGGCCAAGTTACAAGAAACAGATAATTTCAACCTTAAAATCTATGAAAAGAAAAGTTCTTTGGCACTTCTCCTGTCAATTTACCATCCATTTAGCTAATTTAAAAAAATGACCTCCAGCATCATAAAGGGGGACTTCCTTCTCTCTATAATGACTTGAATGTTATTTTTACAGAGAATGTCAATATTCCAATGTACTTTACGGAGGTACTGCTGCATCAGTTATTCAGTGCTCCAAATGTCCATATTGTGTTGAAAGATATTGATTGAATCACTTTCAATTGGGAGCCCATTTTTTCATGGAATTATGATGAAAATTTTGTTTACAAAACACCAATTAAAAATTATATAATGTAAGTCTAAGGGAAAATTACTCTTGTCTTATAGGGACATTTCAACTTAGGGACACTCTTGATGCACCAATTATGTCCGCATCTGGGGGTCTCCCTAATATATTGTAACAGTAAATCAAAGCACCCATACTGTAGGCTGTTACATGCACTGTACTTTATTCCAAGAATTCATCTAAAATATGCGAAAAGGTTGGGAAGCACATCAAAAATGTCTCTTTTTGTTGTTTTTACCACGTCTTTATTACACATCACGTGGACAAACAAAATGGAGAGAAACCCTCATTAAATCTGAAAGAACTTTTTCCTGGCTATGTTTGTTCTTCCGCTGGAACAAAGCCTCATTCCGTGTCTGTGTCCTTCAAAGACAGCTTTATTGAGTCTAATAAGTCTTCTAAATCCGAAGTTAATTTGAAAGTTCATTCAATACGTCATGTAGTCATGTCAAGAACCCATTTATTGACTAGCTCACGCTTAAATGGCTACATTTATTTTGAAATTTTTTAAATCGAATAAATCCTTGTTAATTTTAAAACAAAAGTATAATCTGGTGCTTATATATTCTCTTATAGTGTTTATTGCTCGTTTAGTCGTATACTGTATACTCAGCATTCATATATTATTTACAACACAAACAATATACGATTAAAACAGTATTTTTTCGAGGGAGGAGATATGATTTGATCCTCTGCTACAATGGAACACAAATTAAATTCTCTAAATATTGTTTATGCGAAGAGTTCGTGAAACTCATTCAAAAAATTGCCAACATTTCGCTGTGAACAGTATTTTTCTGATTTCTGCGTCATCAACGTTTATGAATTATTCGGAAATGATATTGTTAAAAATCACGTAAGATAATAACATTGTACTGTACGATAAGCAAAAACATATATGACATGAGGAACACAATAATAATGAAACTATATACTATCCACTTCCTGATGAACTTATTGAAAATATTTTCATATTGCGAAATTTTGAAAATGTGCTTATCTTCAAGATTGAAAATAATCCCAGCAATATCATTTCAGCGCATCATTTTTCGTTGACCGAAAAAGTCACCTGCTGCTCGAATTTGTATCCAAATAGTATATTACCTCATAAATCAAATCCAAATTTGTCAACTTCAGTAATCCAAATCATACTGTTTGAAACACATAAGCAAACAATGTCTAATTTCGAATTTAAAAAGGCTAAAAAAAATACGGCCTTTCCTTCCTCATCGTTAAAAAAGTGATTTGAAAGGTTAGTTGGGGGATAAGCGGACATTCTTTCTGTGGGGTAGAAATTTCCTGGAAAAAACCATTGTTAGGATATTTTATTTCCTTTTCATTCGTTTATACATTTAGGGGAGTCGGCTAATGACCGACGCGGCCGTCATTGAGTCATGAAGGAAAACTACTTGACCTGATCCGGAAGTGACACAAGGCTCGCTTTCCTGGGAACCTAGGTCAAGGTCCGTATCGTCGACGAAGGATTAACTTCTTTGGTTTGGTTTTTTTTTTGTCCTGGTGAAACATCCTTCACGAGAATTTTACGAGACACGAAGCATGATACGAAGAATGATTACTCAAGAAACCGGGTGGTCACTTGGATCAAATGTTTGCCGACGAATGAGGATTACCTAATCCAGATGAATCCGGAACTATAATATTGTGACAAGAATGAATCCGGATTTCCCATGCCGAACTTCCGAGAAAAGAGGTGCGGCAAAATTAGGAAAGTCGGATACCTAGAAGGGATTTCCTCTCAGTGGAATTTTGAGAACCCGTGCACTGCATATCATTCTGACCACCAATTAAATCAGAAAATGTTGATTCGGAATCTTTCCGAGATGGACTCCATTTCATCCAGGCGATATTTTTGGATTATTTGTAGTAGTGTTAATATTATTGAAACAGGGCTCCTGAAATCTGATTAGAAAACTCAAAACGAATTGCGCCTGAAAAGTTCAAATTGAATGTTTTTGACAATTTCCTATGATGAGGGGCCCATTAATTCCTTTTTATATAACCTACACAATTTTTTAGAATGATTCAAGAGGCCAGTGAAGGCATGTAAGAGTAAAAGATGTTCTTGTAAAGTTAAGTTGTAGGTCTGTTCTCCATAAGCATGCCAACTGTCAGGGACCACTAGGGGTTGCTCAATCTACTAAACACTAACACAGATACATGTCTATACACAAGAATTGAATATCTCAACCAAACCTTACCTTGATGAGCATGAGCAGAAATACTGTATATATACAAAATGGGACACCAAACAGGTCCTCATCCCAGGAAA